GCACAAAAGGAATATGATAATAAATCTATGTTTAAGATTAAATAAGAAGAAACCAAGCCGGGCATGGTGGCTCATACCTGTAATCCCAGCACTTTGGGAAGCTGAGGCAAGAGGATTGCCTCAGCCCAGGAGTTCAAGACCAGCCTGGACAACAAGGTGAGACCTCCTCTCTACAATAAATCAAAATATTAGCTGGACGTGGTGGTATGTACCTGTATAGTTCCAGCTTCTTGGAAGGCTGAGGCGAAAGTATTGCCTGAGCCCAGCAAGACCAGGCTGTGGTAGCCATGAGTGTACCACTGCATTTCAGCCTAGGTGACAGAGTGAGAATCCAACTCAAAAAAAAACAAAAAAAAACAAAACTAAGTAAGAAGGAACAAATGAATTTGTGTTTCATCTTCATCTGGAGAGAAAATTACCAAATAACAAAGCAAACTCAAGAGGTGTGTAAAAAGCAACTTATCCCCTTAGCCTTAGAGCTAATTTGATGGATTTTTTTTTTCTTTTTAAAAACCATGTTGTTTGGCAGTCTGAATTATCTTGTTGTCTGGGAACTCGTAGATACACTGTCAATCACTTTCCAGTTTAAACGAGTTTTCATTAAGATTATGAGTCCTGCAGAATTCCCCAACCCCTTTAAGCACATAGTGGGGGAACACAAACATGAGGTTCCATGCTTATTTGCTACCTATCTTTTTAGCTAGCTTCCTCTCTCTGCCGCCAACCATTGCAAAATTTTATTCCCAAAGATATAACACATCCATCATGCCAGCTTGAAGTAACATTTCGGTGAAACCCAGTAAATACTGCTGTCTAAATATTAATTTGCAGCTTACTGTTGCCCTTCTTTTATTTCATAGGCTTCTTTCTCTTATGGGATTTTGAAAACTGAATGATGCAATTCCTGAAATGTTTCATGGTTTTCTGTTTGCTTATTTACATTTTGTTTCCTACCATTCTCAAAACTATGGGACTCAAAGATTCCAGATAAGAGATGTGACTCACAGTGATCAATACCTGCCATCTCCCTCACCTCCAAGAGAGTGAGGGGCCATCATGCCCAGGACATATATGACACATTGAATTGCAATTACTGCATTTATTTTATAGTATCTCCTAGATGGCAAGGGTAGAAACCTTGTTCTGTTCTTCTTGAGTGCCTGGAACATTTCAAAAACAGGTGTTTGAAGAAATGTCTGGCAGTCCAGGGTGATGGAATGACTTAACATTACATCAGAAGCTTTACCACTTAACTAACTCCGTGTCCTAGGAAAACCACTCACTGTTACTGATTCTCAATTTTTTTATCTGTATAATGGAATGGTTTCTTCACCGCTGACCTGAAGGCATCAGCGTGAGGCTTAAATTGGATTAAATATGTGAAAGGATTTCCTATATTTCCCTCCATACATCAAGCATTATTATTCAGGTCCTTAACCAATAAATTTGTAGTTCCTTTGGTGACCTTTTAAAAAGACATGTTTTGTTTTTCTCTGCACAGCGTTCTTTCTATGACAGCTTTCAACCAACTTAATTGGTTTAGATGCCTATTAATCAAATACAGTCAAAATGCCGGCATGCAAACTCTGAAAGCTCTGGTTTGCAGCACCTACAAGATCAGACAGGCAGCAAACATCAAGAATATTTTGCCGTGAAAATGCCAATCAGCTTGTGAGGGGCTGCTATTATTCAACGGGAGGAAATAACTATCTGGTTAAAAGAATGAGTTTTGATTTATTTGGGCTTGAGCTCATATGTGTTCTTTGCTTTTTATAAGTTATATAACTTCTGAGTCTCAATTTTTCATCTGTTAAATGGGTATACAAATACTTACATAACAGGAATAATAACGATTTTATAAGAATTACATATAGGATATTGCTCAGCACCATATAGGTGCTCAATAAAAGGTAATTATATTACCCGCAATGAGCAGTGATGCTATTATTAAGTAATAGCTATCATAGTAGCTATATGACTAATGACGATAATGCTTACACATGATGGCGACTGTACTAAGAACTCAAGAACATTAACTCATTTGATCCATATACAAAGATAAGGACTATTGTTAGCCTAAGTTTACAACTGTGACTCAAAGAAGTTAAGTCAATTGCTTACAAGAAAGGTACAATCAGGTTTTGAACTCAGGTTGTTGACTCCAGAACCAGAGTTCTTAGTCTCTATGCTATCCCACTGATGTCTTCCTGCCTAATGATACTGTGAAGGACTTAGTGAAATGAGTGACGAAGTTTTGGGATTGTTCAGGAAGGACAGTGTCACACTATTGTGGCTCGTCCTAAGTACCTATATTCGACACTTCACAGAATGGGTGTATGTCCACTAGGTGGCATTGCTGTTTTAACGAAATGTGAAGCAAGCCAATATTTAGGCTCAGGAATCTGCTACATTTGAGAGCACTTGGAAGGACAATCTATTTGCATCCCTAAAAGTCTGATGAAAGAAGCCTCCAAAACTTAGAGCATATCCAGAGATCTCTAAGAACTAATGCTATCTTGAAATAATTAAGAGAAATATATGCTAGTCCATTTTGCATGCTAATGTTTGTGCAGAAAATCTGGATAAATTTTGATATGATCTGGTCCAGTCTGTTCAGTTTATAGAGTAGACTTGACCAGAGGTAAAAATGACTTGTTCAGGGTATCCCAGATTTGATGGCTTTACTGTAGTTTCCTGTCCTTAATATTTTCTGTTGATGCTAAATCACAAAGAAACTGCAATTTCTGACCTTTTAGAAGACTTCCCTTTGGCTATGGGGCCAAAGATTGCTCAACTACTGTGAGTTTTTGTTTCACTGGGATTTAAACATATGTTCCAAATCAATAGTAGACTCAGAAACTTAGATATTAAGTAGTATAAATGCAAAAAACATGGTGCTTTTTTCCTCTTGAAAAGACTGAGTGACTCTATTTTAAATGACTATGCCTATTAGGTGAAAATGCAGTTTGTGAATATGAAACCCATGGTAAATAGCAGGTTAATGGAGGAGTACAAGGATCCTTAGTCAAAATGGGCACAAGGACTATGGAATCAGCCTGCCTGAGGTAGACTCTGGCTCTATTATTTAGTAAGCATAGGACTCTGGGAAGCCATGAGACACCTTTAAGCCTCTGTTTCAGTATCTTTAAAATATAAATAATATTTTAACGTATCTTTTAAGATGCTTGTAAAAATCATATGTGTGAAGTACCTGTGATATAGCAAAACCAAGGTTAAACATGATGATAATAACTGACTAGCTTGTTATTGGAGTTGATGTTTCGTTTTCTATAACTGTCAATAGTGAAAGTCATTACTGGTACTTTGTCGACATTACTCACTGTCACATGCAGACTTGCTAAATGGGAGAAATAACATTTCAGGTTCATAACTGTGTAACATCACTTTGTTCTCAACCAGATGGTACAAGTAGCCAAGAATATGACCATGTATTTCATTATGTGTTCACAACAACTTAATTTAAAACACTTAGAGGCTTTAGGCTCCTATTTGCAGGTTAGGCAGAGAAGGTGACTGAGCACGTGGCATAAAACAATAATAGCTAAGAGTTATCTATTTTTTTTTTAGTTGGAGTCTCACTCTGTCGCCCAGGTTGGAGGGCAGTGGCACACTCCCGGCCACCGCAGCCTCGATCTGCTGGGCTCTGGCGATCCTTCCACCTCAGCCTTCCGAATAACTGGGACTACAGGCACGCGCTACCACGCCCGGCTAATTTTTTTGATTTATTGTAGAGATGAGGTCTCGCTGCCCAGGCGGGTCTCGAACCCACGGGCTCAGGCAATCCACTCACTTCAGCCTCCCAAAGGCGCAGGATTACAGGCTGAGCCACCGAGCCCGGCTTTGTTTTACAAGTATTAAGTCATTTCATTCTTACGACATACCTGTGAGCTATGAACTCATGTTTTCCCCCTTTTTAAAGATGAATGAACTGGGATTGAGAAACTTGCTCCAGCTTAAATAATAAGCTACAGAGCCAGAATTTCAACTCAGGTAGCCCGGTTCTTAGTCACTCTGCTTTGCCAACTCTTGGGGTGGAATGTGAGGGGGCTCAAATGTTCCTGAGCTCCAGATTGCTTTCCCCAATACACTAAATACTACAAAGATGCCTGGGATAGCCATTTGCTTAGCTTTTCCAGGCTACTGTTAACACACAACTCTGTTATGTTGGAGGGCAACGTGTTCAACCTATATAAATATTCTTACGGCAGTTAGTTGATGAGATTAACTCCTGATTGACTCCTGATTTTAAGAGGGTAGAACAAAATTGCAGCTGGTCAGAAGAGAGCTTGTCTAAGACAGGGCACTCTTGGAGATCACTCCTTAGGGGCTGAAGGAAAGAGGATCAGGTTGCTGATGCAATCAGGTCTGTGACTAGCTTATTTGTTGCTCTTGTGTTCTGTAACGTTCCAGACTACATTGCTGCAATGTAGAATTCCAAATGAAATTCTTGAATTCAGATTTCTAAGAGCCTTAGTGGTCTTCTGGTTGACCCCCCTGACTTTACAAAGAAAGAAACCGAGATACTATTTGCTTAAGATTTGTCCTCAAGAAGATTTGGCTTCTTAGAGGAAGAGTTGGACTCCTGTTCATTTGGTTATTCCACACTGTTTCTATATCTCTTAGCTATTTCACTTTGAATAGCGTCAACTTTGAATACATGCCGAAATTTCCCTGTTTATACCAATAACATTTTTCTTTCAGTGAGAACCCAAATTCAACAGATAGCATCTGTTCTTTACAGATAGCATCTTTCTATTTATAATTTCTTCTTTCTTCCTTTGCTTGAAATAAACTTTTATGGGGCAAGGGAACAATGACATTTATTAGAATATATTTTTAAAATCAATTTGTTTTCTCAAGAGAAGCCACGGAATGCAAACAATTCAATTTAGATCTAAGAAGACAACCCCACTAAACAGGACTCAGGCGACTTAAAAGCAGAATTTCCCAAAATAAACTGCAAGGAGATTTCCACTTACCGATCTCAGTCATTGTTATCCCTGGTGCTAACTGCCCGTTGTTGAAGGAGCTATAGGTAAACAGGTTGGGTACGGACGTGAGGTCATAGATAGGTTCTTGCTTTATCTGTTTGATGCCAGTCATGTCAAGTCCTGACTGATCAGGGGACGGCTGGCCGGAATCTACGTTGTAATACCCCTCAGACTTGGGCAGGTCAATGACGTGCCCGTTGGCGTAAGTGCCGCCGGTCTCGGTGTTCAGGGTACTCAGGCCGTTGCTGATGCTGCTGCTATACACCCTGGCAAGGGCTTCTGCCTCCCCGCTCTGCTGCTGCCGCTGTTCCTGCAGCCGCTGCTGGTGCTTCTGCACCTCGGCATATAGGCTGTCCCTCTGCTTCTTAGACATCCTTCCGAACTTCACAGCTGGGTTGAAGGGAAAAGCAGAAAACAGCACTGGTGGGTATCATTCTTGTTAACACCTTGGGTCCAAGGGGGCATGGATGACTGTCCCTACAACATCAAATGTACAAGCCCCGGGCACCATAACCTAAGAACTCATTCATTTGCACTCCACCTTTGGGGAAATGGTTTTCATGATCGTCCCCTCCAAATATGTTGAAATGTGATCTCCATTGCGAATAGAGCTGCAAAACACATACATGTGCAGGTATCTTTTTTGTAGAATAATTTGAGTTCCTCCGGGTATATTCCCAATAGGGGAAGTGCTGGGTTATATGGAAGGTCAATTTCTAGTTCTTTCAGAAATCTCCACACTGTCTTCCAAAGAGGTTGTACTAGTTTGCGTAAACATGGAACCAACCGTGTTGCCCATCAAAGCTGAACTGGATAAAAAAATGTAATACATATACGCAGTGGAATATTATGCAGCCATAAAGAAGGACAAATATACGGACTTTGCAGCAACTTGGATGGATTTGGAGTCGATCATACTCAGTGATTTATCACAGAAACTAAGAACAGGGTTCGATATGTTCTCGCTCATAAGTGGACCTTGAATCATTATAGTGCTACAAGAAAGTGACTGGCAGTAGTGGGAAACTGTCAGGGGAGGGGGCGGTGGGATTGGCAGTTGAGGGAAACTGCTAGGGGAGGGAGGGGCATACCTCATCAACAAGGGTACCTGCATGATCAATGTTTATATAGCTAACCCTGAATTGTACCCCACATCTTTATAATAAAAATTAAAAAAAAAAAAAAAGAAACGTGATCTCCAGTGTTAGAGGTGGGGCCTAGTGGGAGGTGACCTGATCCTTCATGAATGACTTGTAATGAGTGAGTTCTGGCAGTGATGAATATGTTTCCGCTCTATTAGTACATACGAGACCTGATAGTTTAAAACAGCCTGGCTCCACCTTCTCTCTTTCTTGCTTTTGTGCCTGCCATGTAACACACCTGCTCTGCCTTCTGCCATGATTGTAAGCTTCCTGAGGCCTCATCAGAAGCCCAGCAGATGCTGGCACCATGCAGAACCATAGGCCAAAATAAACCATTTTTCTTTATAAATGATCTAGTCCCAGATAATTCTTTAGAGCAATACAAAATGGACTAATTCAGTTATATTCTGAACAGGTCTATGTCCATACTGAGAACTAAACCTAAGCTGGGAAGAAATATAAAAAATTTGTGCATGCATTTCACACTGCCTTCAAGTTAGTTAGCTTGTGAAAAAACATCAAAAAACCAAACACCTCCCCCTCCCCAAATTACCCATAGTACAGGCTATTAAAATGTCAACCAATACTCATTACTAACTTTCCCCCCCCAAGCATTAAAATTACCAGATTGCCATATAGGACCCTATTATTTCACTTTCATGTATATTTTCTAAATAATGTGCAGGGTAAGACCAAGAAATGTGGAGTAGGATGAGAAACACAATTTTAAGTGAATCACATCATTTGCCTTTAGGTGGCTTTTAGGATCAAATGATAAGAAGCTTTAGAAAACAACAGTTTTGTACATCCAATGCCCGCAAGTGAGGCAACAGTAACTATCTTTTCTCATTCTACCACTCCCCAAGTTTTATTTTGCTCATAACTTCTGGAAAATTCTCAGCCATTCTGAGAAAAGAAGGAGGAAGAGGCTCTACAAGACGTCCACAGAGTAATATAAAGATGCTTTCACTTAAACATGTTGTTTCTTTCTTTCTTTTTTTTTTTTTCTTTTTTTGAGTTGAAGTCTCACTCTGTCGCCCAGACTGGAGTGCCATGGCCGCTCCTGGCCACCGCAGCCTCGACCCGCTGGGCTCCAGCGATTCTTCCGCCTCAGCCTTCCGAGTAGCTGGAACTACAGGCGCGCACTACCATGCCCGGCTAATTTTTTGATTTATTGTAGAGATGAGGTCTCGCCTGCCCAGGCGGGTCTTGAACCCACGAACATGTTGTTTCTTAACTTACGGCGCTTAACTTCCTGAGCTGTTATGGACCTTGACATTTTTCCTCATGGGTTTTCAGCTCCCTTTTTTGGATGTGAGCATCCTGAGTCACAAGGATCACAGGGTGATACAGTCACCTTGTCTGTATCACCAAACACTGTTTAGCTAATAATGGTGGAGACTATGACAAACTTGGAAGCTCCCCTTTCTGTCCTTTTGTGACAGTGTTCTTGTCATCTCTTGGTGTTGGAAACTCAGAGAAAGCAGAAAGAAGGAAACAGAGTTTAGAAACTGGTCCCATTCCTAGATTCTATCACTAGAGTTGGTGCTCTTATGAGAATATCTAAGTGATAAAGTGCTTAAGAAATCTCTAGCACGTCGCCAGACGCAATGGCTCACGCCTGTAATCACAGCACTTTGGGAGGTGGAGGCAGGATTGCCTGAGTCCAGGGGTTCAAGACCAACCTGGGCAACCTGGGGAGACCTTGTCTCTACAATAAATAATTTAAAAATTAGCCGGGTGTGGTAGCACGTGCCTGTGTTTCCAGCTACTTGGAAGGCTGAGGCAGAAGGATAGCCTGAGCCCAGCAGGTGGAGGCTGTGAGCATTCCACTTCACTCCAGCCTAGGGGACAGAGTGATACTCTGACTAAAAAAACCCAAAAAACAAAAACCAAAATCTCTAGCACGGAGGAGATTTCTGCTGTGAGAGAGCTACTGTTCACCCTCCCCATCCAATGTTCTTCCAAAATTCATTTTCTTCTTCCACTGGGTGCAGAGCTGCCAAATTTTAGCTGAGTACAGGCTGTTCAGAATGAAGACCACACTTACCAGGCCTCTTCACCGGCAGGTGTGGCTAGGTGATTACATTCTGATTAACAAGAAGTAAATGGAAGTGTTACATTCACTTCCCAGTGTTGGGGCATGCTGTTTTCCTCCTCCTTGCCTGCTGATTGTGGTTGTGAGGGCTGGGCTTAGAGAAGCCCGAACTCTTTCTATATATTCTTAATCCTTCTTAAAAGCCTGCCTTCTGGCTTTCTGATGCTGCTTCAGTAGAAAAACAAAGAGGAGCCGGGCTCGGTGGCTCAGCCTGTAATCCCGCGCCTTTGGGAGGCTGAGGTGAGTGGATTGCCTAAGCCGGCGGGTTCGAGACCCGCCTGGGCAGCGAGACCTCATCTCTACAATAAATCAAAAAATCAGCTGGGCGTGGTAGCGCATGCCTGTAATTCCAGCTACTTGGAAGGCTGAGACGGAAGGACTGCCGGAGCCCCAGCAGGTCGAGGCTGCGGTGGCCGGAAGCGGCCACTGCACTCCAGTCTGGGCGACAGAGTAAAACTCCAACTCAAAAAAAAAGAAAAACAAAGAGGTAATTATCCAGTAATTTTCCTGAATGAAGACAAACCATCTGATTAATTCAGACCAAAATCTTCTTTCCATCTCAGTTGTCACTTTTATAGGGTCTTGAATCGTTTAGATCATTGTGTTTAACTTTGTTTGTAGAGATACTGCTTTTATTAGATTCTGATTCTCAGAGACAAATTTATTTGCTTACTGACTGCAGTGATATTTCCAGTTTGTCTATGTATAGAATTCCCCAGTAACTTTCAGAGCTTTGTCTGTACCTTCGTATTATGTCTTTTCAAATAATTCACTACCCATTATTCCCTGGGGGGAAGAACCTTTTTTATAAGAAAAAAAATCAACAATCATAAATGTTGATTCAGAGCAAACTCCTCTTCCTCTCTTAAGAAAGTAATGTCACATGCTTCTTTATTTGTTGACCTTCTGCTCTTTGCTTTTGTGTAGGTTCAGAACACCTATTTGTTGTAGAGTTATAGAGGTGAATACAAGGCTTGTATCTATTGCTATAGATTGAGATTTTTGTTTTGACCAAGGTAGACCTACTTTCTGACTTATTTTAGTGGAATTGTTTTGCATTTATTTGTTCAGATTTATAGGAATTAAAAATTGAGAATGAAAAACTTCTAACATGGAGACAGAAATGCAGTACCTCTTCTTAAAACTCTTTCTACTTAATCCTTGTTTTGGATTTCTATATACTTTAAAATGTACTTTGTGGAGAATTGATTGTATTGATGCCCCTGATTTCTGTCACCTATTTCCTTCCATGCCCTTCCTATGTCATTTTGCAGTGTCCTTTTATTTTTTGTAGGCATCCTGCTCATCCCTTCTCGCAGGGTCATGTGACCTACTCTGGGCCAATGGGATATTGACAAATGTGACAAAAGCAGAGATTTGAAAAGGGCTTGCATGATGATGTGCCTCTTCATGACAAGGACATGCCTGAGTTAGCTTGCTGGAGGATATGTGAAGTAGAGCCAACTCTCCTCAGTCATCCTAGGCAAGGACATCTACAATTAGCAGAGCCATAGAACCAACCTGCAGCTGACGCACGCAGAATTCTGCTGTAAACCATAGATGTCATAATCAAGGTTAACAATGCCAGAAAAGTATGCTGCCAAGATCTCTGCCCTGGTAAACATCTGAAAATGCAACAGGGAAAAGCTATGCCTTTTTAAAAAAATGACTTATCGGGTCACTGAACTACTGAAATATTTTCAAAGAAGCAGCTTAAAGTTACTGCATTTTAGAGTTGTCAGGCTTCAGCCTAAATAAAAGACCTCGCTGATGAGTATAATATTATTCTAATGTTAGCTTTCCATTATTTTCTGAAACACTGATGAGCTAGTGTTTCAGTTTTATGTCCCTTCCTACAGTAAAAGTGGTGACGTATTGAGAAAAAATTACAGTACATAGGAAAAATAAATAATTCATTTTCACTATTTGTAAACACATTTGTTGTATTCATGAGACTCCTTTAACTAAGGCCAGATTAATATTATATTTCAAGTATTAGCATTCTTCTCACTAGGCATTAATCAGACCAGCACATATGTTAACTGCGCCTCTCAAACTTGAATTATTTTGTTAATGACATTCACTTGAGTATAGAGACAGCCTCTTGTTAGACAGCTACCTCTTAAAGAAACCAGCACAATTTTGTATACATTGCAGGTGCTTAATAAATATTCAATGATGGTATTTGCTCATAATATAGTCTTAACCCTCATTTTGATTGATCCTATACTAGCTAATAACAATTTTATGCAAAAGTATCGGAAATCATTTCATATTTATTTGGACTGTGGGATTCTAAATAGAATGGAAGTTTTAGGAGTAACTGAAACCAAAGTCATTGCTCCTTCAAAGATTTCTACTTCCATGACACCTAAACGTGCATTTTTGGTTTCAAGAGCATCCAATTGCGCAACTGTCATTTATGACTTTCTATAGTCATTTACGAAGTTTTTTTTGATACTACTGTCTTTGTTTGTGAAGTTCTTTTGGTTTACATCTTGGGGTTCACCAATAAAACTGACCTCAATTTAACTCTTTTCAGCATCAGAGTTATACCTCCCCTGATGTCCTTTAGTGCCACAAGCTTTGTATTAGGAGTCTGGTTCAATCAACCTATCCCTATACATTATTTTAAAATCTTTTCTCATCTCCTTTCTCTATCTCTCCAACAGAAGCCTTCCCATGATGATGGAATGTTCTCTGTGCTTTCCAATAGGGTAGCTGCAAGCCATATGTAGTTACCAAATACTTGAAATATAGCTATTGTGACTGAAGAACTGAATTTTAAATTTTATTTAATTTTAATTAATTTAGATTTAAATTACTTAAGCCATGACATGTGGATTGGACAATGCAGTTCTGGATAGAAAGGTTTAATCTGTGGAACCTGTAGGGCGGCTTCTGTCCTTTCATAGAGACAGGCCATTTAGGAGAACATATTCTAGATGTCTGCAATGTGAGTATCATCTTTTCTCTTTGGGACCCAGTATTGTCCTAATACCAAACATTTTTTTGTTTGCTTCTTGCTTTTTATAATAGTACTACTGAAAAGAGTTACACTGAACATTCCTTTGTGAAAGGTCTAGGTAAAAGAAAAAAGAGTAAGATGGAGGAGAATTATCAGTGGGTGTGTATATACATGCTATCAATTCACACACACACACACATGCATACATGCTTTTACCTTTTTTTTATACACATAAACACACACACAAGTGGATTTGATTTTTGGTTCTTTGCTTAAGCTAAATTTGAACAAATTCGTTGTTACTGAATTAGACAACTACTCACATACATGCCATTGCTAATAAATGAGTATAGAAGTGGAAGTTGAGGAGAGAGTGAAAATTCAGTGATTTCAACAGCTGTTTTAAGCTATTTACAAGTAGTCTCGTGGTTTCAGTGGCCAGGTATGGTTAAGTAAACATTCCTGGAGCCTAACTGACAGAGCATAGGCATATACGAAAATGAAGATGCTACTTTATCTCTAAGGGAAGGTAGAAAGAAATTAGGTGTGAAAGCTTCTTACCGTGGCTACAGGTACTATTGCTAAAGCACTTTGAAAATACTTGTTTAATCAATAGCGGGCAAGAATAATAAGTAAGTGGCAGGAGAAACTTGCCTGTCATTCTTGAGCCCTCACTACACATAGCTGATCAACCACAAATGTTGGAGCTTTTGAATCCTTCAGTACTACATATTAGACATTATTTATCATAGCAGATAAAAGCTGTTTGGCTTCCCTGGCATTAGGATGATTTACTTGGAAAGTACCCTTTCTAATCAAGGTTCAGACCGAACTTTCTCTGTATGACCTAGTAAAGAAGAACCTTATCTTCTCCTTAAAGAGGATCATGTATATTTTTTTCTGCTTGAGCCCCCTTTTCTCTGCATTCCCCACCATCTTTCCCACCCCTGATCATTTCTCTTCATGATTAGTTTGACATAAGACGTGCTTAGAAGGCATTCTGGAGAATGTCCCAGGCAGCCTCAGCATTGTCTCTGGACCTAAAGTCAAAATGGATCGTTAACCCTAATCCTGTGTCCCTAAACACTACATTGCTTTTATTTGCATAGAGGTTGATGTGCTGCGGTGATTTCTTCCCCCTTGAGAATAGATTGTGACTTTATCCATTAAATGACCCTCCCACCCTCCCAACACATTTCTTTTGCATTATGAGGTTCAGATTATCTCCTAGATTCTTTAGGTTGATGTCATTCAATCTGCAGGATCTGTCTTGGATCAGATCATACATTCATCCCTTGCCCCTGAATCTGTTCACCAGCACTGACCCAGGAGATCTGCCATTCTAGAAGAGATATTTCTTTTTATTGTAGGAAGAATTAACAAAAACATCCAATGGCATATTGTATCTCTATGCACAATATTTATTATTTTTAGAAAGTAGGATTTATTGAGAGGTCAGAAAAGCTCCCACAGTGGGCGGGAACCCTTTTCAGACACTATCAATTAATGTGCTGCCCCACATGGTAGAAATAAAGTGCAAAATCATCAACTCAAATTCTCAAAGAATTTCACCAAAGAAGTCCTGAAAACTAATACCCCCCCCTTCATTTTATTTGCTTTAGTTATGTAGGAGCACACACAGGTATGACTTTTTCCTAGGAGTAAATTTATGCAGTGAGTGAGTGAGCCCAATAAAACAATCAGTTAGTTAATAGGAAAGTTTTAGAAGTGTCATCTCTGTAGCTTTAGAAGCTACCTATAAACTGAAGGGCTCAGGGTGAGATTCTTTATTTTTTTTTGAGTTGGAGTCTCACTCAGTCGCCCACTCCCGACCACCGCAGCCTTGACCTGCTGGGCTCCGGTGATGCTTTCGCCTCAGCCTTCCAAGTAGTTGGAACTACAGGCGCGCACTACCATACCCGGCTCGTTTTTGATTTATTGTAGAGATGAGGGCTCGCCAAGTTGCCCAGGCAGGTCTCGAACCCGCGGGCTCAGGCAATCCACTCACCTCAGCCTCCCAAAGGTGCGGGACTACAGGCTGAGCCACCGAGCCCGGCTGGGTGAGATTCTTTTAAAGGTTTTTATCAAATTTGTTTTTTAGGTGTACTTTACTATAGGTGTAGGACAAGTTTAGGTAAAATGGGAATTAGAAAAGAAGTAAAGAATCCAATAACTCACAAAACCCCTTTATACTAAGCGCATGCCAATTCTCTCTATTCCTTTAAAGCCTTTTAAAAAAAGGTTTGGTCTTTTGTGCGTGTGTCTATCCAGCCTTCAACCTCATTAGAGAGATGCAACCAGAGACACAGAATTCACAGTGATTCACAGAAAGAGAGTAAGTATCAGGGGCACTGTCTGTGTCTCAGGCTGTAGGTAGAAGAGAGGAGATGTCCAAGGTTCATTCAACAAACATTTACGTGCCTGCTTTTAACCAGACCCTGAGATTTTGGTGAGAACGAGACAGAAATGTCCCCAGGACTCGAGGTCACTTACAATCTGATACAAAAGTGCTGGGGCCAATGCCAGCTGGGAAAAAATAGTTTAGATGAATGCCTCAAAACAAAAGCAAAGCTTTTGTAAAATTCTTTATTCATCTTGTTTGACTTCATTTATCCTCATTTGTCAAGAAGTTCAGCTGGGGAATCAAACCCCCCCAATCTGGTTGGGTCTGAAGGTGAAGTGTACTCTGCATCATAATCTGAGTGGGACACCACCTACCCAATCTAAGACTTGGACTTCTGCTATAACCTTTGCAATATTCATCATGGCTCAGATAGTCCAAATAATTATCTGGGTAGTTATGATGAGCCAGCATAACTTCTGGGCTTCCCACAGAAAGCATATTCTGTTCCTCAGCATCTCTGTGCACTAAGCAACTCATGCACCAGTCAATAGCTACCCAGTTACCGAATGGTCTTGGTTTGCTTGGGACTTTCCGATTTTAGCTCTAAAAATGTCATCTCCCAGGAAATCCCTCATCTGCAGGCAAACCTAGACAGGGGTTCCCTGCAACCTAGTCCTATATGGCTTTCACTTAACCTAGTTAGCACAGATTGCTCCTTGAGCTATAGTAAAGTCTTTCCTTTCTTCCTATTTCATAGGCAATACTGTGCTCTTATATGTTCTTACTTTTCCTCTTAATGCACTACCAGCACCGTGGTTTTCTTTTCTTCTTATCCCCAATTCCCTTGTCTAGAATTCCTCCAGCAGCTTAAATAGACTCCAGCAAAGCATCTATTTGAAAGGCCTTAAGGAAGAAACAGGAAGGCAACGCCTTACCATCTCTTGACATTCCTAGGGCAAGACACTTCTGCAGTCGGCAGTGTTGGCAACGGTTTCTGTTGGTTCTGTCAATTAAACAGTTTCTCTGCCTTGGGCAGGAATAAGAGGCATTGTTCTGCTGGCTCCTCCTAAAGAACCCCTTGAGGGAAAAAGAGAAGGGGCGGGAAACAGATTTATAAGAAGAGAAACATAAAGACCATTAACATACGTATTTGCTACATTTTCTACAGCGAATATAACTGAGTTTAATTTTTAAAATTCTTGGAAATCCCTCCTTGTATAGTTTGCAGATGTTTCTACAGCAGAAAATGTATGCTATCTGCAGAGATATGAAGGTACCATCCATTCACTCATTCACTTACTCACTGAATCCATGCTTGCTAAAGACATTTGCAAATAGGCTGTTTATGCAAAGTAGACCAGAGTTTCTGCCCCCACAGAACAGTGGGCACGGGGTGGCAAAGGAAAGTGTCATGGCTAAACCAAACATGTCAGAATTTGACGGGACAATAACACAAGCTTGTACCAAGTGAGGTGGGGAAGAACTTTAGGTAGTAAGAGCAGGACTGAAGAGTATGTGCTATTGTTTTCCTAGTTCCTAAGATGCATTTTTCCACACTAGAAAATTTTTGAATTTGACTAGAATGCACCTGGAAAGTTTTTTGTTTGTCTGTTTTTTTTTTTTTAAAGAGGGGTTTTGCTATGTTGCCCAGGGTAGAGAGCAGTGGCTATATACAGGCATAATCATTGCATGCTACAGCTTTGAACTACTGGGTTCGAACAATCCTCAACCTCTCAAGTAATTGGAACTATAGGCGTGTGCCACCATGCCCAGCTCTGAAAAGTTTCTTCTTAAACAAATGATGTCTCTTATAATTAACCATATCTTTGAATATTGCTGAAAATGAACTTTTAATGAAAGCATGCTTGCCTTCTTCTGGTACAAAATGAACTTCCATTGACCAAACACTGCCCTCCTAAATAAATACAGCTGAGTTAAATAAGAAAACCATTTTTTTTTTTTGGATACCACTCCCTTTAGTTATCTTATAGAGAACTCATTTGGGGAAAATCAGCATTTTCCCTAGAGATATGAAAGTTACCGTCCATCCATTCATTGACTTGTGTCATTAGTTTCTCTAATCACTCTTTGCTCTTGAATTGCCTAGAGCAAAAGAGAAAAAGTGCAAAGTGCCATGAGCAAAATGATGGCTTGCAGTATACTCGCCAAAAGAAATTCTGGGAAAAAGAGAGTCCACAGTGTGATCTTTGGGTAGGAGGAAGCCTAGAAAAGTTCAAGGAGGGTAAGCTCCATGCCCATCTTGCTGAGAAGCTTGGAATAAGTCCCCTGACTTCCCTCAAACAGCATTTGTGTTTCCTCAGCTATCGGTAGGAGGATCAAGGAGGGCGGGGACTAGGTGAGGTGAGTGAGGCGGTCACTTTGGCCATGAAATTTAAGGATCACCAAAAAATTGGGGAATTAGGAAATATACTTTAACACATTGTTAAAAATGACATTAATGCCCAAAAAATTTCAAAAACACTTATAGTTTAAAGAAAGACAGAGCCGGGCTCGGTGGCTCAGCCTGTAATCCTGCGCTTTGGAAGGCTGAGGTGAGTGGATTGCCTGAGCCTGCGGGTTCGAGACCCGCCTGGGCAACTTGGTGAGACCTCATCTCTACAATAAATCCAAAAATTAGCCGGGTAATTCCGGCTGTAATTCCGGCTACTCGGAAGGCTGAGGCGGAGGATCGCCGGAGCCCAGCAGGTCGAGGCTCCTGGTGGCCGGGAGTGGCCACTGCACTCCAGTGTGGGCGACAGAGTGAGACTCCAACATGTAAGGAAGGGAGGGAGGGAGGGAGGGAGGGAGGGAGGGAGGAAGGAAAGAAAGAAAGAAAGAAAGAAAGAAAGAAAGAAAGAAAGAAAGAAAGAAAGAAAGAAAGAAAGAAAGAAAGAAAGAAAGAAAGAAAGATAAGGATCAGTATTGTTGAGTTTCCTTTGGTCTTGGGTGCTAATGAGGCTCAATATGGCTCTTTGAAGAAAGTTTGGCCAACCTGGGAGAAGTTCAGAACTGGATGTGTGGTCAAGGATCTCCTTAGAGGGAAAGGCCTAAGTGATTTTGTGGCTGTAAGTCCAAAGCCACTTAATAGCAAAAACTGATTTCTTCCCCATATATTTATGTGTATTCTTTATTTGATGGACACAGTGAGACATCTGATTGTCCAGTCTGTCTAAATTTATGGAGTCCCTTAAAATAGAGGTCACACACAAACCCTCAGGGACTGAAATAATGTACGCCATATACTGTGAAAACCATCAGAAAGTACAACCTCAGCCCATCAATCTTGATTAAAGATGGCTTGGAATTTACATCTTAAGAAAGTATTGTGTGGTTTTTTATCTTTGGATATTCGTGTCACTTAGCAAAAGAGTTGACAGGAAAGACTTTTCTGAAGTCATAGTCAAAGCTGTAATTTAAGGCCAATTTGACATTAATTACGAAGCATTTCTTGCTTATCTGTTGCTCATTACTGCAAATGAGGTTTTTGGCATGAAAAAGAGATTCTGTTCCAAATTTTATTGAATGAATAGAAATTAGAATAAGTGCACAAGCTGAATTGATGTTATTTAAAATGGAATGTTTATGTTGACTTGAAAACAGTATTATGAAAACTTGGAGGTTGATACTGAATGTGCTGACACTGACATATAATTCTGAACAGAAGTTTTTGAGTTTTTCATTTGGAGAAATATGTAACATATTTACAAATGTGGGTTTTTCTATAAATTAAAAAAATAATAGTATAGTGTACAGCATCATTTTAACTGAAACCTCTGAGTATGCTTCATAATAACAGCATAATTTCTTTGATTGTATATTCCTTCTTTAAATGGAAAAGATGAAACTCATTCCTGGCTATTGGCCTGTTGGATTATATTTGTGCAATAGTTAAATCTTTTGGAAATCACTGTTTAAAATATTTTGCTTTTTAAGATGAATATATAACCATATTTTGAAATCAGACATTTTCCAAGTAAAGCTTATACAATGAAGTGCCAAACATCCTCATTTTGACATTGATTGAAAAGTAATTTTTAGTCGATATTATGTAAACTAGACCAGAGCTCTTATGACTACACAACAAGCCAAGAGAATGATAGAAATGCTTTCAATGGAGAGGGTTCTGGTTCCGAAATTATTATTGTTTGTGAAGAAAGCTACTTGTTTACCTGCCCAGAGGAAGTGATAACTTATTCAAAGAAGGGTACCAAATTGTCGGCTTATAACTTTGCTCTATTGTTTCTTCTTGGTGAGTTGAAAAATTGCATGAAAATGGGTAACATGCTCTTAATTAGAGGTCTGCAATGGAGCAGCATGTGAGGAAAGTCTTATGATGTTCACATGTGGATTACCACTAATCGTCTCTAAAGCAGATCAGTATGTTGACAGGTTGGTACATTAATATTTTCTTCCCTGTATCACTTTATCCTCATTTATTTTTTTTTTCTTTTCTTCCCTCCAGTTTCCATTCCAGGAATCATATTTGTTTTTGAGACTATTATGAAGACATTGTCAATTTTTCACACAGCACCACTATGTTACAGTTACAGTATGTTTTGTCTCCTTTATATTTAAAAGTGTTTTAAGAATAAAATTGGATCTTAGAATCTATGACTGTGCTACATTTCTGTCAATTTGCTGACCTTAAATTCATAATTTATCCTTGATCAAAAATATAATTGTTCATGCCAATAACTTTGCCAGCATATCACCTTTTTCCTCCCAGACCGTCATTGCATTTTATTTGTTCTGGTTACACATGGTTCTTAAAAGTTGTAGAACTGTTTTGATTTCCATTGCTATTTTGTCTCTCACTTTTTCTTTCCTTCTAAGAATTAACTTTTAAAAACTTCCTGTTAAATTTTGAATTTCTCCTATTTTAGATTAGATTCATGTTAACCACTATTCTCCCCAGATCTGTATTTAAGAAGCAACTAGCTCACAGGAATTAATTTGTCATAGGAAGGATTGGGAGAATCTGTTCAGGAAGGGAACGCTGGATTGAGAAACCCGTGTTTCTGGCCACATATGCTCTGTTCTTTACTCTCTGGATCAGTGATGTTGGTTAAATGACATAGTCTTGCTTGTACCCTAGGACCTCATTGAAAAATGAAGACGTTGAGGAAGATGATTTTAGTTGATTTAGATATTTTCTTGTCCACTTGTAACATACCATTCTTCCAATTATCTTTTCTTTTTTTCTTTGAAATGTGAAAATAAAGAATGGCCACATGCATATTGCAGCTGTTACCTTGACTTCTACTTTCTCAAGCAGATAGATAAATATATGCCCACTAGTTTATCATCTTTATGTTAACCTTTATTTTTTTTTAGTATAGTAATAAGTGCCCTGGAGTTTGCTGGAGCAAATACTGCTAAAACAACAAGACTCAAGTATTTCTCTCTCTGTAAATGTGAATAACTCAAGCTTTTAAATAAGAATTCATTTTTAAGGTGCCGCTGACCAGTGAGACAATAACAAAAAGGTAAAAGGCAAAAGAAGAGAAAATCAACCCTCCCACCCACCAAGCAAGAATTCCTGACTGTCAGCAGACAGAATCCTTTAGCAAGACTTCTATAAAAGGTGTCACCACGTGCCTTGTGAGGTACACAGATGCCTGAGGCAAATACAGAACAGTGTGGTATTAAAGTCTCATACCTTGCAGCCTTCACACGTGATGACTCCGTAGTGGATCCCAGAGGACTTATCGCCACAAATTTTGCATGGTATCACTTCAATTTGTGCTGAAAGGGGAAAATAAACATTTTGAGCTTACAGAATTGTCTTCTTTCTTTCACCCTGTGTACCTCCTTCGCCATCTATCCCTGCCATAATGTTTGTGTTTGAAAATACTGGGGTGGGGTGGCAGCATGGGCATCATTCGTTACTATTTGAATGGCCTTCCTAAACTTCTAAGTGAAAGGACGTCCCTCTGCTATTGTTTGCTTTGTTTTTCTTACTACAAAAACATAACCAGCAACCACACGTTTTCTAAACACTTGCCTTCACCGTTATTTCCTTTTTAAACTTGACCTTAATATAAGGTGACTCAAAAATCCCTTGCACATATGACTTTAGTTTTCTTATTTTGCACTTGAAACACGAAGTCACCGATAGCTTTCACATGGCCTTACCTCAATGATATTTTAAATAAGTAAATAAATCAAAACTGGAAAAAGAGGGTGCATGTTAGCTCTGTACATTACGTGGATGGATGTTTACTTTCAAAAAGGCCAATAATGAGTCAGTCCAATATTTACTGAGCATGCTGTATATGTCCTCTAAGATAATAAAGGCTGTCGACATGGGAAAAGATATGCTAATGACACCAATAATCTAATGAATAAACAAAATTAATATCTGGAGAAATCAGAGGAAAAAATGGTAGACTTTGCGGGTACTAAATATAAATTTTTTTTTTTTTTTTTTTTTGAGTTGGAGTCTCACTTTGTCATCCAGACTGGAGTGCAGTGGCCTCTCCCGGCCACCGCAGCCTCGACCTGCTGGGCTCTGGAGATCCTTCCACCTCAGCCTTCCAAGTAGCTGGAACTACAGGCATGTGCTGCCATGCCAAGCTAATTTTTGATTTATTGTAGAGATGAGGTCTCGCCAAGTTGCCCAGGCTGGTCTTGAACCCGCGGGCTCAGGCAATCCACTCACCTCAGCCTCCCAGAGGTGTGGGATTATAGGCTGAGCCACCCAGCCAAGCTACTAAATATAAATTTAATAGGAACTGAAATACTTTCAATGAGGATGAAGACATTTTTGTTGATTTTGAAGACTAGGATTGGGTTAAGCCAAAAGGAAAGGCAAAAGGCGTTTCTGAAGACAGAAGTGAATGAAAAATAATTGGAGGTCTGGGATGATTATGGTCTTGTGATCACTGAGACAACAACTTGGCTATAATGTACATTTAGGTCAGATGGTTGGATAGAAGGATGATGCCAGGTTATAGAGTTCCTGGGGTTAGGCAGAGGAGTTTTCACCTGATCCCACTAGCCATAAGGAACTAAGGAAGTGAGCAGGGTGAAGAAATGAAAGTGGTGGTTTGGGTACCCTAGAAAGGTGAGTTTGGCTGGCTAACCATAAACAAGCATAAGACCAACTAAAGGCTAATTCTAACTTAGATGACAGGAGATGAAAGCATGGCTTATTACACCAGTGACAGGACAAATGAAGAGGAAGAAGCAGACAGAAGGATGGCTTCAAGGCAGGAGAGAGATCACATGATGAAAGAAAGTGTACAGAGGTGGAAATTGATGAAGCATCCAAGGTGACTTCTAGTTTCCTAGAGAAGAGGGTGAGATAAAGTAGTAGGTGTCACAAAAATGGGAATGTTAATAAAGCAATTGCTTTGTGAAATATGGTGGGGCACTGAAGTTCCATTTTGCATGTGTGCAATTTGGTGTGATGTCTTGTGCACAGAACCTCTTGCTAAGGTGATTTTAAATCATCAGCCTAGAGGTTATGGATGAATCTATGAGATAAAATTTATTTAGAAATGTAGTGATTCCTGTGTCTCTGATAGTACGCGTATTCTAAGAGTTGTTAAAATTATACACACTAAGAAGATCTGCTATTTCCTCTCCCAATTTAAAATAATTATGCAAAATATACTTCAAAATGCTTTGTACATCAATCTGCCACTTGGATGCTTTTCTATAGTTTCTCACTTTTGAATATACAAAACAAATAAATGCAAGATATTACCGTCCTTTTCTTATTGTTTTACACTTTAAAAAAAGACAATACTCAGCTTTAGGGTAGCACATTAAGTTTTCCAAAATTAAATATTTCACAGAAACTTCAAATCATCCTTGTAAGCAAAAATTCAGTGTTATGTCCCTATTTTTCATATGAAAAAAACTGAAGATTCAGGTTGTTAATGATGCTTTTGAGTTGACTTGGAAAGTGACAACCAGAAATTAGCCAAATTTCCTGATACTTCCTTCAGTTCTCTGACTCCCGTAAAAACAAAGGAAGACTACAAGTTTGAATTCCTGTGCTACTCCAATAGCACCAGCTAAAGAGCTAATGATAAAAAACATCAGAAGAGACAAAGTCACTTAAAATACTTATTAGACTGAGTGTGTATTTGTATTTGCTTTTGTTTCTTTCAGTTTTCAGATGACACGAACTAGTGTTTGTTTTCAATATTTTGTGATAGGGAAAAATAGGAGATCTGATACTATTCTATTCTGTCCTCCTCAACTCCAGTCCTTAGTCTGTTAATGATTGGAGCCATGGCCAAGATCAAAATCTCTGATCTTATGTTTTCTGGTTTATAAAGCTTAGCTGACAAACTTCATAAATTTCTGAGGATCAAATGGACATTTTACGTAGAAGTGCCTTGTAAATAATGACAAACTAGAAAATGTCAGTCGACACCACTATCATCATCATTATGAACTTGTTTTTCTAACACTTTTGAACAAGAAATATGACAAGTACATTATTATTCCTTTATTAAAGATCTTGTCATTTAAAAATAGCCTAATGAATGACACTATAAATTATTTGTACTTTGGATTTTTTCTTCTTTTTTCTGAGATAATCTTTCAAACAGTGGATTGTTTATAATGATCACAAAATTGACTAGAAATCCCAGGCATCCATTGTATAGTTTTTAGCTTATATGATATTAAGTCAGAGGCTCTCTGCATAAATTACTCCCCAGGGAGTAGCTTACACGTGGGGAAAATCTGCTTCAATAAGTTCTTAATTATAAAATGATCTAACTTTAAAGGAAATGAAAATAGAGGTAATTTGCCCCCCGGGGTGTGAGAAGATGTTTTTGAAAGCCACAAAGGTTATCTTACACAATTTCGGAAATACAAATGAGATAAGGAACATTCGATAGAGCATCTGCATATTTATACATATTTATAATCCTGGCTCAACATGTAATCCTGAAGAACTATAAACATTTCAACAGCATTTTTAAAGAGAAAGAAGTCACTATAAAGGGCATATGTGTGTTGTCATGTGTGGGAAGGGGTTATAATTTTGGAAACCCTATGACCACTTTTACTTATTATGGCAGAATAAATAATTTGAGGTAAACTTAAATAATTTAAAGTACTAATTCTTTTTTTCTCACTTAAAGAAATAAGCTGCTTTTAAGCTACAGTTTTATAGTTCATATCATGTATTTTATAAAGCACATCTTCAAGACAGAGTATTTCAGACAGTGATTAAAACAAAAGATCACATTATTGCTCCAAAGTCCTCCATTTCTGAATGTCTTATCATGATACCAGGCATAACCTCTTGTGGGATTGTCTTGCAGTGAATACAGGTTTAGTGACATGCTACTTATGGTTTCCAACCAAACATCTTGGGAAGACTTGGTGGCTTGGAGATCACCAGCTGTGACAACGAAGGTAATAGAAGGAAACTGAGGAAAGAGTTTGACTTTTGTACTTTTGCTTGACTCATGGATTTGTTCAACGATAGCATTCTTCAAGGAACACGTTTTAATGAATTAAAATGTCCTGAGAGATGGTTCAAGAGAAACTCATTCGGTTTTCATTTTTCTTCAATATATTATATATTCTTCTCACTTGTATTTTTCTATTGGTAGGCCTTTGTAAAGACTATAGTTAAAATTTTATTTACTATTTTTTTGTTTATAAAAGCAATGCTATATAGTTTTTTCTTTTTTTGGAACAGTATTCTCACAGTGTCAAACAGTATCATGAAAGATGTAAAATAATTTGATGCTTTGCCTTATATTAGAAAAATTGGTGAAATACAATTAATTTACTACCCCATGATCTGGCAGGCAGAACCTACTCAACAGTTATGCAGTAGTCAAAATTGACTTCCCTATTTGAAGATAGGTCCCTTGTTTAGAGTTTCTTGCCACAAATTCACACAGAGCCACCATGTTTACAATTTTTCCTGCTTATCAAAATGTACACATTTATAGTTATGTCTCCTCAGAACCCCTGCGGGTGTCAGCAGGTGTTAAGATTATATAAACTAATCCATGCTAACGAGCTAGCTAGAAAATGTGTTATTTCGATGCAACAAAATACCTCAACTCTTAAAAGCGTCCATCAGGAATAGTGGTAATAATGGACTTTTCAGGTGCTTTCCGGCTAGAGGACACATTTTTACTGTGTTTGCTCTTGTGGCTTTTAATTCTCCCCATTCCAACTCTTACAACTCAACTTGGCCCTTTTTATATTCTTGGTATATTAAATCCACTGAGGACAAGGACAAGGTTACATGTCTCTTTTTGTTTTCTGTGGTGCCTAAAGGAGAATTTTTATAACTTCTTAAAGCAGTGGTCTTAAACCTCTTTTTCTTTCAGTACAACAAGAGATGTGATATACTCCCTTTTATAATAGAGGCTTTAAAGCAATACCAATTTTTCATATTTGGGGTGAAAAGAAGTTAGAGAGTGAGGGGTATATATTTTCAAAAAGGCCCCAGGTTATCCTGATATGACACAATACAGCCTCCACTGGGCACTAAGTAAATTAAGTCATTAACTGGGCATTCTCTCTGCCATGTAAACCACCTGCCAAGGTGAAAAAAAACTCAGGACCAGGCCAGATCTTAAAATACCACAGTGTGAACAGTAATTCTCTGTTTCCTGACTTTGGGTTTGGGGCTATATTTGCAGCATCTTTGTTTTCTGCTTTTGTTTTTGCTTTAAGGAAAGTAAGAAGCATCAGCCCAGGCTATGATTCCTGGATGCCGGACGGTATATTCCTGGACACAGGCTACATTCCTG